CCCGGAGCGGACACACACACCGTCACGACGGATATCAGGGAACGATTATATAATCCATCGATCGTAGTTTTAAGAAGCTAACGTGGAATTGAACGATGGCTCCCTAGGGGAGTTTCGATACCACGTGTCCGCACTTCGGTCGGGGTTGCATTATTAACAAGATAAAATTGAATAAGAAGATTCTTCACTGGCCACTGAGTATATATGCTTGATTTCTTCGAACCAGAAGAGCAGAATCGACTTTTTTGGTTCTATGCGGGATGTCCCACCTAAGGTGAGAGACCTTTAGTATCTCATTTGCTTTTGATTCGAAGAAAATTTATTTTAATAAATGCTCACACCGATATGTCCATCAACTTCGATACACTTTTCCACTAATCCCTCTATCGTAGTTATTTTATTATTTAAATCTATTCCCATACATTTATGGATTTTTTGTACCTAAGTTTGTAACAACAGTTAGTGACCGTATATTCTAAGTGACAGTAATTTTATACCGAGTGAAATAAATGTTACTTTATTCGACCAGCCTTGATTCACGAAACTCATTCGAATCACGCGATAACGAAAAACGCCTTTCGTTGTTCGGAAAAATCAGCGTCAATCCACGTAACTATCTGGTACATTCAGACCCGGTCCATTTCAGTTGAAATAAATCAAAATCCCCTCTCGCGTGGCCGTCTCGACGCCCCGTCTAGTTCGGACTAGTTTCGGAAGTTTCGCGACGCCGTCGTATCAAGCGAAAACGAAAAACCACCCGAGCTCCCTCGTCTTTGATTAATGCGACCGGCCGACGATTCGGCGCCGATACTGATTGATTAATCGCATTGTCGGGCCGTATAGTATCGGTTCCACGGTAGGCGAACGCTGCTTCGTTTCCTATTCTTAGACCGCCTACATTGACTTTCTGGGTTAGAGCGTGCCGTTCTATTGCAATGACGTGAGAGTCCGGTCGCGCTACCACCCCCGTCGTCCCTCCACCCTCCGACGACTCAGCCACCACTCCTCTGTCCATCGATATTTCGGGGTTTTGTTTTTCGTCCGATTTACAAAATTCTCGCGGTCTAGCGTTCCACCGACGTTTCGCCACGCGGAAATAAATTTCACGAGGACGGTCGCCTTTCGCCGCCGATAAACCACTTCCATACCGAAATTAATTTTACCCTCCAGAGAGCTGAATATACCTCGCTGGAAGAAATTGCTCTCAAAGGCTGGGCGCGAATAATATCGCGAGTCTGTCCACGGAAATCTATTTTAGTGCTGTAATACCGTGTCTGTGTGGGTGTGCCTCTGTCGAAATAGGTGGCTGACGTTTGGAAAAAAGATCGGTCATGCGCGAACCGTGTAACGGGACACTTAAGAGAACTGACCTGCAAAATTCACGTGCAACGTGTGAACAGATGTGGTGTACCACGGATTCATACCGGTGGTATAAATTTATCTTTGTAACGTACAACCGAATGTGCGATTAGTGACGTGTTTAGAGGGTAGAAGAGATCGAACGATTTTCAAATCATTCCGCAATGACTACCCTCTGCGTCCAATGTTCCATCGACAGTGGATCTGGTTACAAGTGTCCCGAAACTATTCCAAGCTACAGACCAGAAGACAGATAGTCTTCCATATTAATCGCCACGAATAATCGACCCTCTCCGTCAACCCCTTTTCACGTTCGAAATCGCGTTCTCCAGTTTCGCCCGGTTCCCTCCTTTTTACCCGTCGTCTTTTCACCGGTCTCGTGCTCAACCGTCCGTGACTCTTTTCTTTTTCTCCGCCGCCAATTCCGTCCCCGAGGTTGTTTCGCTCTCGCCCAGAATCCATCGTTCTTTTTGCCACGGTGAAACGTCTTCCTTCGCCGGTAGCGCGCGATGCGAAAGAAAAAAGAAGAGAAAACGAGCGAGCATTAGCGGGGTGGTGGGAGGCCATTGAAGAATACCCTGTTCCCTTCCGTCCCGGCAATCCCACGCCAGCGCGGGAACCTTTTCCTGCCCGCGAGAAGCTCGTTCCCGACAAATTCTTCGTTATTATTTGCGCGACGAGAGCCCCGTGTCCAGAGAGAGACGACACACCATTGTCATTCCTGTACGTTCACGCGGGTCGGAGACGAGTCGACGAGAAGCGGATGGACTCGCTGAACCCTTCTGAATATTACGCGACGAGGCGATCTTTTTTTTTTTTTTTTTTTTTTTTTTTTTAATACGTCGAGGTCGCTCCGTGTTATTCGAATGCGATTTCGTAAATGTGCTCGCGGATTCTGCTCACGGGCCGACAGACACTCCGTTGAAATCCCGTCAGCAAGGGAAAGGAGAAGGATATTGTTGAATAGAAAACGATTTCACCGGTTCTCGCAGCTTCGCCTGTTGGACGAAGTAGTACGAGTCAACGATTCCGGCGATGTCGGACAATACGGTAGGTATACATATTGTTGTTCACCGATTCCGCTTACATCAGGCGGTACACGTCACCGCTATTGGTTGGTTTCGCGAGTCTTCGGTATAAATGAGAGTATCGCACACTTCCATGGTTCCCTGTTCTCCTTCTATTCGTGTGCTCGCTCGAGCATCGGTCTTCCGGGAAAGGAAACCAGCTGCCACGATTCCGAGCTAAGAAGGAAACCACGAAATATCGCGAAAGAACTTGACAAATGGTGTTTCCCGAACCCCGTGAAGTGGATGCATGTATCGTCGAGGGGGCACTTTGCCATCGCATCCCGTACACGGATGAGCGAACTGGTACGAGTCAATGATTTCCGACTGCCAGACGTATCCATGCATAAGAGGTCCTTACGCATTCGTGATTACGATCAATTTTAAGTGCAAGCCGTACGATTTCTTTCGTTATATTACACTATCCAAGACGATACTCTGTAGACGGATAAGCGTGAAACAAATCGATCGGAATGATCCTCGTTGACAAACTATTTATTCCGAATTGTGCAGCTCGAGGCGTGACATAAATCGTTTAACATACCGCCCCGTTATGCCTTTCATAAATGTATAACCCGGACATACATTCAGTCGATGTATGTACACAGGCGATACGCGAGCGTATGGAGGGGGGAACACGATCGACGACGCCCGGGTTCGACTTCGATCCACGTCGAAGCCTGGGTTGTTTTATTGTCCACGGGCCGTGCGTTTCGTGATTTCCGCGGGCGTATGAATAATCGATCGTCCCGGGGAATTTCTGCCTCGGACCGCGTTGAAAACTCGGACGAACACGGCCGCGGAACGGGTAGAAAAGAGGGCGAAGAATGGAGCCTACACGCCGCTTCGTCGACGATTGAATATATGAATGAACGGTGTGCTCCACGGATGCGTTATAGGTACACGTTGCCGCGGCGAACCTGTCTCGTACAAAGCGGAACAAAATGCACCGCGCAACACGTGCATCTTTGTCCGTAGATATTGCCCACTGGATGGAAGTCTGCGATGTCTCTCGATGATCAGAAATTGTGTTTGGTGCGTCATCGTCCGTGTACAAATATTTTTAACGCTTCAACTGCCACGTCCATACAAACCTGGGTGACACGTACTTTACAAAGAGACTGAATCATTTAACCCTTTCAGACCTGAAATCGCTTTTAAGAGTGAAAAAAATATTTGATTGCACATTTTAACTCGGTAGACTGTTTAGATGATATTTTGTTACAATAATTTTTTTTAATTTTTTTAAAAATAAAAGGTTTGTTATTTATTATAATTCACTAGACCTATTCAATACATTTGAAACATGAAAACATTCAAATTTCGAAGGAAAATGTGGATCTGCAACACACTGTACCTAAGGCTTTGCGCGAAATTGTAAAAAACTTCAGATACACAAATGTGACCACCATGTCTGAAAGGGTTAAACATCGTTACGAAATTTTTAACGTAAAATTAATATGCCAGTGTAATTTAAAACAAGTCCAGCAGCCTCTATTAACGAAACGCATATATTGTCGACGATTTATGACTTTTCACAACGAAATAAAGTGTGTCCGACTACGTACAGCTCTTTTCACTGTGGCAGTCGACGTGCTAAACCCGTAGAAATATTGTAAAGAATGAAATATGCGTGTGAATATTCCTAGCAAACACGTAAATTTTCGGTAATCGACACGCGGAGAATGCCTCGGCCTGATCTGATTGAGTTTCAAGTGCGAATGAAGAGGCTGAGTGTTACGTCGATGAGTTCGAATATACGTGGGAAGAATAGTTTTGTGCATTGTCCCCTCTAACAAGACTCGTTCACCGATACAATACCGATATCAATAAACAGGATGCGAGCACCAAACAGTCACGCCCCTGGATTTCATTGAGTCGCGTTTAAATACCGACAGCAGGGAAGTTTAATCAGTCCGAAGCGTATTTTGTACGAGCGGTCGAGCGATTTCACCGGCGGCGGCGGCGGCGGCGGGATTAAACAAACTTTGTTCCAGGCACAAGAGGTGGAAGAGGGAAGGCCGGCAATGAAAGTTTCGACGTGCGCACGCGACGAGTGGCCGATTACGTCTGCGTCTATCCTCTGTTCGGAGACCCGTATTCATTGAATTGGATTTTTGTGTACACGAACAACGTACTCTTTTTTTTTTTCATTGCAAAAACGAACAGTTTACCGACCACCGAACGGTAGGAAAATTCTCGATCACGAACGGAACGCGACGGATTCCTCTCTCGTTCTGGAGAGAAGATGATCCAGGCCGTGCAATGTGCCAGTTTCATTTTCATCGTATCTCGTGGAGGGCAAATCTCGCGGATAAACCCGACGACAATGCACCGCCCGCGGAAACGGCGTCGTTAACGACGCGATATAACCGCGACAACTGTGCATTTGTCTGTCACCGTTACCACCGCGTATCGGTTTTCAGGAACAGGGAAAACACTCGTTGGTTTCTATAGATCGGAGTAACGGACGAGGATGACGAGGCACAGTGAGCTGGATCGAGGATTTCGGTGACATTTCGCGGAAAAATCAACTTCTTCGTATCGATATCTACCGAGTCTGTATCGACTTACCGGGTGTAAAATTGACGGGTTTCTCCTTGAACTCCAAGCAGTCGGTGTAAAACAGGCCCAGCTTCTCGAACGCGCCGACCATATGACCCGTTCTGTTCGCCAGCAGCTCTGAAAAAAGCGCAATTTCAGGCACGTTAGCCAGCATTCCGGAATCGGGGTTAAAGCTTGACGACATCGGTGCAAAGCCGACCACCCCCGAGGCTCCTGGTGTATCACTTTACCCCCTACCCCCGTCGAACGTTCCGGGACCGTCAAACAAAAATATTTCTCTCCCGTCTGCGAAAATATTCCGATGGTTCCGAGCAGGCATAAATCACGGATTCATGCCTCTATAAAAAGATCGACGGAGGGAGGGGATCTCGAACCCGGTAGCTCCGGCCGAATATATCGGCGGTGAGAGAGCCTTCCATTCAGAGCCTCGAAATGGCAAAGGTTCGTTTCGATGGCGCGACGTTAAGAGCGATCGAACCGCCGTGTGACTTTATCGAAATAGATCGTTCCCACCTAGATAATTCCCCCACGTACTCCCGTGGAGACGAACCGAACGTACGATTCTCCGGCTATTAAAATACCGGCGAGTGGCCATCGAAATGATATAAAAGTTCATTTAATTACTTTATCGTAGTCCTCGTGACAGGGTCGTACCAGCGAGACCTGCGAAACTTCGTCCGGGCTTGAATTTTTTACGCAGACTGTTATGCGGGAGCCACGATATCCGGGTATCGTATTTCAACGATTTTTATTTCGTTCCCGTAAACCAATTCCGCAGGACAACGTTACGACCACCACGCGAATCACCCAGCGTCGTCTGAACGACGTGGATCGTGGAGAACGGAAGAGACGAAGAAAGTGATACAGGTTGGAGAGGAACTACCCTTGTGTCCTCCCCTCGCGGAGGATCAAGCGATCCCGACGACATCGACGTGTGTTGTGTTCCATTCTTCGAGGCCGTTCGAACGAACGATCGCAGAGCGGCCCGTTGTATGTGGAGCATTGTGTCGAGTCATAGGACAACGTGCATGACACACTTCCGTGTGCACGTATATCGATTAACATGAAATATTTATAGTACGTACAGGCCAAGTGGCTGGCGATCCGGCCTTCCGTGTGAGGCCTTTGCTGACCTCCCGCGGGATGGTGGAGAGGGGGGAGGGGGAGGAGGACGTCCTCGACTTCCACGTCGTTCCATTCGTTTCGACTTTCCGGTGCTTTTATTACTTTAACGCTTTTGCATTGCGCATATTCGGTCGCGCGATCGTTACACAGAGGTTCTAACGCCGCCCCGGTCCTTGACCATATTTTTCGTCGTGTTTCTGTAAATCTCGCATCGAACGATCTTCTTCCGACCCCCTTTTTTTTCCGCGCGGGGAAGATTCTTCGCAATTTTCCCGCCCCGGTTCCTGTCGGTACCCAGTTCCTCTATCTCTTGGGAATCGAAGTACCAAGCATTAAAAAGTCGCTCCTTTGACTCGGTCGAACGTCGGACTTCGACGGCGGGAGGCCACGCGAATCGAGGGAAATTTTCGATTAATAATCTATGCGGGAGAGGGCACCAGGCCACGGGTACGTGTTCGTAGATTGAAAATCGATATCCTCTCTTTCTTTCCCCCCCCCCCCCCCCCACAACCCCTAGCGAGTACGCCCGGCCATAAAAGGAATTAAGATTTAATGTAATCAAGAACACCACCGCGACGTTTCCGTAGCAATGTATAATTCAGTGGGGAGAAATACGGGAACGGAGTGATTCTTCGTCGGCTTTTTCCGGTGCAATGAGAAATCGGATAGAAATCTAGAGACTTGTGTATCGTACGATCGCGAATTGTGATTGCAACCGGTCTGACGTTTGGAGAATCGCACCGGAAAAGCAACGTTGATGGTAAATGAGAGGAAAATAGGAAGAAAGATAAACAGTCTAAAGCACGGGAACAATGATCGTGCTTTCAGTTGCATCACCCCTCCCTCGTCGAAATCGTTCAACCCAGGCAAACGCTATCCGAATGATCGGTGGAGAGAGAAGCAGGCAGCCTCTTGATCGATCGGTACGCGCGACGCGCGAACGTTCAATAGAGACCGGCTCGGTCCGTGTGTTTAATCAATCAATCCGATTCGCCGATTATTCGTGCCCGCAATCGGTGCGCCTCCGATTTTCCACGGGCACGGAGAGTGTATTCCATTGGTTCCATGGATGGGGGAGAGAGCATTTCGCGTCGAATGATCGCGATCGTAGGTACACACAACAGTAGCGCGCCCTCTTCGAGTAGCTTATCGTTTCGAGAGGACGGGCTAAATCGACCGTGCCTTCGCGATAAAAGTGCATCGACTGGCCCCCAGGCAGCATTTCTGCGATTCCAAAAGCACCCGACGAACCGTATCGACATAACGAAGGCCCGGCCAGGAATTATTAATACGAATAGAACGGTAACGCGCGCCTCGAAACACGGTCAACCGGAAACTTTTCACGAAGATGACTATCTTTTGCAACCGGTAGAAACGATACAGCGTCCGTCGAATTTCCACGGTTCAGAAATTCTTCGAAAATTCCTGGAATGTTCGAATCTCAAACTGCCAAAAGTCGGGGAAATTCGCGGGTAAAAACGCTGAAACGGAAGAATCGAGGGAAGAAAGAGTATCTTTCGCTCGATATCGGAAGATTTTTATTCCAGTCTGTAACGCGCGGTCCACCAGACACTGTCAATCGCACAAAGTTTTATTTCGTTCGATACAAAGTATATTCTGTGCTGATGTGTACCCTTTACATTTCGAGCATCGTATAAATTAATGAATCGGTTATGTACAACCCACCGGAGTGAGTTGTTCTTTATTTACTGTAGTAAAACAACAGACAGCAGTCCGAGGGATCGCACATTAGGTAGTACTAGTGTGAGATTTTTGCTAAACTGTTCATACCTGTTTTCAACAACATTTTTATTCGTTTCGCTCGATGTTCTGCCGTCTTTGTTCCTAGACGTCACGGTGAACTTGCGTGTGTCTCGGTTTTCTAGTACGTCCACCGACACCGGAAAGTCGAAACAAGAGAGGGACAGATGGAGAAGCACGACGCCGCGAATGAAGAGCAACCGGATGCGCGAAATGGGTCGAAACCGCTATCTGCAAACTCGTTACGCAGCGTTTCGAGACGAGTATCACGCGGCCACTCGTCGCTATTCGACGTCTACGAGCACACACCGGATGGAAGTTCGTGGCAGTCGATTCTCTCGACTAGCTGGTCCCCCTCCCCCTTTCTTCTGTCCCCATCGTCCGGCTTTCTCCCGCCTCGCGGCTCCGTTTGAATGGAAGCACGAAAATTCGGCGCTAGACTCGCGCCCACCAAAAGCCTCTCCCTGGCTTTTTGTCGGAACCCAACAGATATACGCGGTTCCTCTGTTTTCATTTTCC